GTTTCAGGGCGGGCAAATGGCGTTCGCAGGGTGCTTGCCTGCAGAAGGATGCTGATGACGGCCACCAGATCTGGGGCCTCCTCCATCGCCCTCAGCAGCAGCGCCGCCTGCTCAATCTGGGTGTGCCGCAGGTGCGCCAGCAGCCCCGTGGACGCCACGTGCAGGCGCACCTGCCACCTGGGGGTCGTCGGAAGCAGACGTTGTCAGAGGCGCGAGGCGGCGGCGGCGACCTGGTCGGCGACCTGGTCCCCTGAGCTTGATTGTTGTTATGGTTGGGGACCGTGCGCGCCGCCTAGAGGCATGAAGCCCCTCGTGAACAGCGGCGGCTCGGCGCCTCGCGCGCGGCCGCCGCAGCTGCGTCGGGTGTGCAGCGCGGCACGGGTCTAGGGTGCAGTCGGGGTTTGGGTTGATCCTGGACCTGCAGCTCCCAGGTTTTGGGGCATCAACTGCAGCTGACGCTTCGCAGCGTCCTTGCTGCAACACACGATCGTAACTTGCAAAGTGCCTCGAACGTCCGAAGGCCGCCAGGCCTTGAACTCAACGCCCTGCTCCGCCCCACCCTCCTCAACACCACAAATGCCGGTTGGCCCTCTCCAAGACAACAGCTGCATCCACGTCGCGCCACCCCCCGCCGCGCGTCGTCCCCGCGCGCACCAAGGGAGGTTGAAGAGGTCTTCGTCGGCGTGGGCTATCATGAGGGCTCCAATTGGGGATGCGGGGGCGCCAATGGCCACCTGCACGAAGTACTTCATCGCGTCGGGGCCGCTGTATAGCTCCTGGGGGATGCCAACTTCCTGCGGCGGGTGTGGAGTGTGTGTGTGTGTGTGTGTGTGCGCGCGCATGTGTGTGTGTGCACGTTCATGCGTGTGTGCGTGCGTGTGCATGTGTGTGTGTGTGTGTGTGTGTGTGCGTGTGTGTTTGTGTGTTTGTGTGTATGTGTGTGTGCATGTGCCTGCGCGCGCTTGCGCACATGTGGGTTGGCTGTTGTGTGTGTGGTACCAGCGTACGTTTGTAGAGGGGTTAGCCCAGCGTACAACAACCCCCTCAGCCCATCACCAACCTCTGCGGTCTTCGCATCCCCAAAACGCAGCGTGCATGGCCACCCCATCCGGCCGGCATCACCGCCGCCCTCCAACCCGGGCTCTACGACGATGCGGCGGCGCAGCGCGGCGGCTGGGATGCCGTACGACGACATCAGCACCGGCCGCGAGTCGTCCTCCCGAGTCAGCACCCAGAACCTATGCATCGCATGTGTGTGTGTGTGTGTGTGTGTGTGTGTGTGTGTGTGTGTGTGTGTGTGTGTGTGTGTGTGTGTGTGTGTGTGTGTGTGTGTGTTGCGTTCGTGAGCGTATGCGGCTGCCTGGCAGCACCTCTGTGATAGCTCTACCCGGGTCCAGGCCGCTGCTGCCACCGTCATCGGGCTCTCTTGCGTGACTACCTTTCGCATCCCGGCCCGGCCCCTCTACAAGGATCTGGAGCCCGCTGGATCCGCATCATGCAAGGGGTGGCAGCTTCTCACGCGACGAGGTCAACGCCGAGGTGGTCTGCCAGCAGGCCGGCAGCTTCCTGCAGCCCAAGCAGCGGCTGGTCGCTCACCCGCGCCAGCTGCTCCTGCAGGCCTTGAACCTGTACGATTTTTTTTGGACGCGTGCAGCCGGGCCCAGTTTGCTGGTGTCTACCGCGACAGGCGCCCATTCGAGCGCTGCTGATAGCGGAAGTGGCGCAGCAGTCGAAGCGTTTGAGCCGCCGCTGGTTTTGGGGATTCATGGCTGTGGCCGCCGCCGCCCCAGAGGGGACACGCAGTTGTTGCCGATTCAGTCGATGCTGCGTCCCCGCTGGCCGCGTGGCTGCTGTGCAGCAGGTGGCCAATGCCCTGCCCATACATCTACCTTTTCTAGAAAGGACGTTTGAAGGCGGATTCGCGCAGAGGAGCGCAGGCGGTCGATCGCCATGCTGCCAACAGCGCCGACTGTGCTGCCAACCGCTGTGTCCCCGACCTTCGCCCCACGAACCACAGGAGTCGAATTCTCGGTGTGCACGGCTGGGGAAGACAAACAGCCCCCCATTTTGGTGGTCCTGATCTGGGTGAAAGTGTGGGCTGCAGTTGATGCTGGGTGACTGCCGTGACGGTAAGAGGCACTTGCAACACGATACAATGACTTCGGTTTTGTGGGCTTTTGGTGGCCGTGACACCGCTTCACCGCGCGTTGCTGGAATCGTGCACCGCAGCACCGGAAAGCGGAAGCGAGGGCTGGCCGTCCTTTGCTTTGTACGGGAGAGCCATGGATGGTATGGGGTCCTATCTGGTGTTGACTGGCCAGTCTCCCACGCAGTGGCACGTGGCTTTGTGGAAGGACAGGATCATGGGTGTGAGGACACCCAGCGCGGGTCGAGCAGCGTGCGCTGAAGCCATTGTTGAGTATAGAACCACAGCGATGAGGAACAGCCTGTACTTGAGTGTCAGGTGCAGCAAAGCCGGTCGCAATGCAGCCAACTGCGGCCATGTTCGCTGGCTGCGCATCGCGCGGCTTCGGGTGCCCAACGCAACCGCACGGCGGAAGTCCAGCACGAACACTATTGAGTCGGGAGTGTTTGCAGCAGAAGGCACCAACGGACAGACCACGGCCAGCAAAATCATAAAGACTTGTAATTCATGGTACAAGCCACATCTGCCTGTCGCATTGTCGCATCACAGGTGCTCATTACCAGTGTCTGGGCCTTGCAGCCTGCATGGCAAGGGGCAACAAGGGCAAGCAACACGCCGCTGTTTGGCCCAAGCTTGCAATTCAATAATAACACTTTGTACTGTGATATTCTGGCCCCCTGTGCTTTGTGCCTGCTCAGCCGTCATCCAGACAAAGGGCCCGACTGGGCCTTCCAAAACACCAAGTGAGCTCACAAGAATGGTACCTTGGCACAGTTTCCGAACGATCGATAAGTGTTGAACACGTTCACACCTGCGTGTCGTGGGCCGGCCACGCCAGCCCGCGAAATCTTACAGATGAGTAAGGTGATCCCTGACGCACTTCAAGGGGCCTTGGCTACCCCTCGTCTCACGCTGTCTACCGTGCGTTATCAAGCGGTTCATTTGTGTCCACGCGACATTCACCCCCACGCCTGCTTCTTGTGCTCTCTTCCACACTGACACGGCTTAGGAGCGTCCTCGGGACCAGCTCGCCTCTCGAGATTGGCAGCCTATACATCTCTGCTGAGATTCACAGCTTGAGTGCGCTCACGGGCCGCGTGACTCCCGTCTGGACACTGGTCGTCTGCGAGCCCAGCACGCGTTCGCAGTCTGCACAGCAGGCCCTCGGAAGCCTTCATGGGGGGCTGTGTGTCGTCCACAGCGGCAGACATCAGCGATTTCGCCGCGCCGCCAATCACCGGCGGCGGCCACGCGTGCAAGGATGACGGGAAGCAGTGGGCTGCCTCAAGCGACAGCACTGACGGATCCGCCATAATCAAAGCGCGCGACCAAGACAGCGCGGCCGCCAGCGCCTCCGGCGCGGCCGAGTACGCGGCCGCAGGCAAGCCCGTTCTGGGCTGCACCGGCCGCGTCGGCAGCCTCACGCTCACGCGAATGCGGTCGACCACGCGCGCCGCGCTGCACCTCGAGTTCTTATCCGAGATCCAGGGGCTGCAGCAGCAGATGGCTCTGGTGAATGACAACGCCCTGATGGGCCTGCAGGAAGCTGCAGAGCTGCTGGCCACCCAGCTGGGCGCCGATCTCATCGCGTGAGCGCCCCCTCCTTGCGCCCCGCAGGCGGCTGCAATAGGAACGAGCCCGCATCCGCCAGCCCCCAAAACCGTTCGCCTGGAACCTCCGGGACTCGCCGCATGCTCGTCGGATCGTATTTTCGGCACTCGAGCGCCCCGCCTTGCGTAACCTTTGATACGAACCATGCGCTTGGCCCTCCCCCGCTCATCACTGCTGTCGGCCCCGCAGCATCTGGGTGGTTCCCCGAGATGCGCCGGCCTGCTCTGTCCTGATGGCGGCCCACGGGGAGGGCGCGGCGGTGCTGCAGCAGAGCATCGTGCTGCAGGAGGCAGGGGGCGGCGGCGGCGGCGAGGGCGGCGGCCGGCCGCGCGTCGGCGCGCCCGTGGGTTTCTGCACACCAGATGTGGCTGCGGAGGGCGCGGAAAACGTGAGCAAGTGGATTCGTTTTGGGGCTATTCACATGTGTTTGTGCATACAGTTTCAAATTAGCAAGAGAATATGTGCACGTATGCGCATGTGGCCAGGAATGTGTGCGAGGGGGAGGATGCGCGCGTGTGTGTTTCTGTGTAAATGTGTATGTGTGCGTGCTCGCGCGCGCTCGCTAGCATATGCACGCATCGCCGTCTTGACAACATACCTTTGGGCAACGGCAGGCAAGAACGCACCACCCCAACACCCCCCGCAGCTGGCCCTGACGCCCAAACCCATCCCGCCCCACCCTCTCTTCACAACAGGTCGACGTCATCCCGCATGACCTGCTGTCGGGCCGCACCGCCCTGCGCAGCTTCGTGCAGGTGCCCATCGGCTCCGCCCACTCCCAGATGGGCGCCGTGCTGCTGGCCAAGCGCGACCCGGCCGCGTTCGACGGCAGCTGGTGGGTCGGTGCCCCGCCGGTGCTCGGGCGAGTGCAGGCGGAAACATTGCGCCCTCAGGAGCGGTTTCGGAGCGTTGGCGGCCCACCAGTCGTGGGAGTTTCGGCAGCCTCGATCTGGATGCTCCAAAGTGGCTGTGGCGACGGTGTGCCGGTTCCCGGCCGAGCACCCTTCTCCACAATGCCCTCTCGACATACACACACACATACACATACAGTACACACACGCGCGCACGTGCAACAAAACGTCGCGCACCTCCAACTCCTGTCAGGTGGAAGGTGCGCCTGCACGTCGCGTCCACAGGGCTGCTGCCCCACGTGAGGCACGCGCAAGTGCAGCAGATGGCAGCCCTGCTGCGCTGCATGGACGAGACGCAGGACCCCGTCGCCCTCATCAGCGTGCTGCTGCGGGTGAGCTCGCGCGACCTGGGCCTGGAGTTGTAGTGGGATTGGCCAACAAGCAAGCATCTGTGCGCATCCGCCGCGCGGGACAGCAGGCACAGTGCGGTGTGCCGGTAGTGGGTGCCAGTTGCTAGAGGGTGCTGACAATCAGAAACAGGGGCGGCGTACGTTTAGGGCTGCGGCCCGATTGCAGGGCCACTACGGCCTCGTAGAAGCTGCCTAGGGTCAAAAGCTGCCTAGGCCAGCGCTGCACAGCCTTATCAGTCGGTGCGGCATGATTGTGACCGCCCCTTCTACTCATATGGGGTTTTGCGCAACTGACCACACCCCCGTACTGCCTCTGCGCCCGCGCTCGCGCCCGCCCCCCAGAGCGCCTCGCGCTACATGCTGCGCGCCTGCAGCATGCGGATGAGCGCCCGCCTGGCGCTGCTGCCGGGCGACGGCGGCAGCAAGGCGCTGCTTTTTGAGCCGGGCCGCACCTCCTGCAGCGGCAGCACCGGCAGCGGCGGCGCCGGCGGGAAGGGCGCGCCGGGGTCGCCGCGGGCGCAGCTGGTGGCGCCGGGGGACGCGGAGGCGGACGTGGTCACGAGCTACCTTCCGATGGCAAACACGCTGCTCGCGTCGGCGATCGGCCAGCAGCAGGCGCGATTTATATCGGACTGTGGGCAGTACATGCAGGTGAGGACCGGCTGTTGTTTCGATAGGAATGGGTGGGGCTGCCGGCCGGCGCTGGGTGCTGCACAGGAGAGCCAGCTCCTGGCCAACTGGGCGGCTCGGCAACGCAGGGATAACACAGCACTTGATGTGTGCTCGCCTGGCGGGATGGGGCGCTTACAACTGACACGCTCTTCCCTGCCGGCCAGCGTCGATGGCCTTTACCGCCGCCGCACCACCACAAACGCCCCGCTCCCCCTCCTCGTGTCAGACGTGTGTCCGCCCCGCGCGCGACGTGTTCACGCGGTCGTCTGAGCTGGTGTCGTCAGTCGTGGTGGTGCCGCTGATCGCGGGGGAGCACGAGCCGCTGGGGGCGCTGTACTTTGCTCTGGACGTTCCCTGCGAGTTTGCAAACATCCAGGACACGCTGCTGGTGGGTATCGTGGTGTGTGTGTGTACGTATGTGTGTGTGTGTATGTGTGTGTGTGTGTGTGCGCGTCGACCTGCAAGCGTGTGCTTGTGTGTGTGTGTGAGTGTGTGTGAGAGAGAGAGAGGGAGTGCGTCTGTGTTTGTCGACATGTGCGTGTTTCGGGGACATGAGCGCGTGGGTGCGAGCAAGCGTGTGTAGGAGAACTTGCAAGCGCACATCGTTGGACAGAGTTCTTGACACTTCTATCAGGCATTGAGGAGGGATCCTTTACTCCCTCCTCAATTTGTGGATTTTAGGTGGCTGCCGGGGTTCCGCATCGAGCGCGGTTTTGCATTTGACCCCCCATTGCCCCCCCCTAAACAACACCCCCGCCCGTGCCAAACTGCACCACCGCTGCCGCAGGGATTCATATCTGGAGTGACCCCCTTGCTGCACAACAAGCTCGCCGGCCGCGCTGAGGCCCTCTCCGCACTCCTCGCTAAGGTGTGCCCGTATCCGTCCAACCCTCACGCAACGCGCCACGTGCTCTGGCCGCCGTTTCCCCCCACCCTGCAGCAGCGTGCGCGCGGCCGCCGCCGGGCGCCGGGCCCTCTTACCTGCCGCTCGTCGCGACGCCCGCCGATGCACCGCCCCCGCCGATCCGTGCCTTCCTCGCACCCTCAGGCGGGCCGCAAGGCGTCCCAGGCGCTGTCGCTGACAGAAACTTTATCTCGTGAGCTCCCCAGCGTGCTGGAGCTGCCGGCGATAAGCAGCAGCGGCGACCCGAGCTCCCCGTCGCACGTCGGCGGCGGCGGCGGCGCGGCCGCCGTCAGCGGCGGCGAGGCCAGCGTGGGGGCGCCGCCCTCCAGTCGGCTGTCCAGGATGGGGGGGAGCCAGCGCATGAACACAGATGCTATGCTGCAGGTACCAGGGACCTTTGGCTCCCGGGTGTGCGTTTGGGTCTGCATTTCGTCCGTGTGTGTGTGTGTGTGTGTGTGTGTGTGTGTGTAGGGTGGGGTTCAAAGGGCAGCGCTCACATGGCAAGCGCGTTGCAGTGCGGCGCTGCCGTCCCCTCCGTTGGGAGCTGCTGGCGACTGTGGCTGCATGCCCTGCCTGATGCGGTGTGTGCCTGCAACCACCCAAACCACGCTGCACGGTCACTGCTGCTGCTGCTGCGGCGGCGGCGGCTGCGGCGG